TATTTTCTTTTGACAAATTAAATTCATTGGAAGATGCTGATTTAAAAGCATGTTGTGATTATTTTTACATTGTTTAAAAACGTGTAATTTTTTGCAATCTTGATGGCAAATAATTGCTTCACGAGTTAAAAATTTTGCGAAATCTTTTACCAAAAGAAACAAAGACAATTTTTGATATATTAAATTATTTGAAATACCAAAAGAAATGAAGACAACTTTTGATATATTGACTTAGTTAAAAAGGATGGATCGCTTTTTGAATACATTTATTGCTTATAGAGTATTACTGAAAATTAATGTTATTTTTGCATCTGCCGAAAGAAATTTTTCAAAATTGAGATTATTAAAATCTTATTTACAATCAACCAAGTTATAAGAACGACTGAATAATCTAACTTTGATATTTTATTGAATAAGATTTTCTAGAAATGAAAGCTTAATTAGTTACTTTGCTTCTAGAAATGCGAGAAGAAACATTTTTACATGATTCGTTGTATTTCAAAGTTTACACGTGGTATTTGATGTTTTTGATTTCAAGGTTTTCTCATATGAAATTGCACAAAAAGTTTACAGGCTAGGCTGACTCTTTGTTGATGACATGAATTTTGATGAAATTTGAGAGATGCTTTTAAACTTTATTTGTATTTTTCTCATTCATGGCATTTAAAAGATAAATAGTATTTAAATGTCATAATTTTGCGATGATATAACATTATTGAAATATATATTTTTAATTTCATGAAAGGGGCGTCATTTTAAAATGTCGCACAGAGCTTCCAAAATTTGAAGGCTAGCCCTGACTATAAACATGCTTATGGCTTAATCATATTTAGTAAATCTTGAAACTTATTTAAGAATTGTTTGCTAAGGAAATATTGGTCTTTTTAAGGCTGGTAATACATAGTACTATACATTATTTTTAGCAATATGTGGCAAATTTGCACTTACCTAGGAGAGAGACGACCAAATTTGTATTTACTCTAATGTCCATTTAGAATTTGATCACATTATAAATGAGCATTCAATCAAACCTTATTTGACAAATACTATTTCGTTTCGTTTCAAGATTGGGGTTCTTGCCTCTAGAAGAAAGCATGTACGGTTTGTTGGTTTGTTTGTGAAAGTTTTAAATTAATTAAATCCACATGCGGAATTACACAATTAAAAGTGTTCATGAGTCCAATTAATTGAGGATCTGGACGAAAATGGACCGAAAGTACGTTTGCACAATAAATTGTGAAATTAAAAGTGAAAATATCAAAAATTAAATGGTACGAACATTTTGCATAATAAAAGTGAAAGGTAAAAATGTTTTCTGCTAATTACCCTATTTAAAACAATAAAACTTTCAATTATACTGAATTCACATAGATAAGTTACAATTATTGAGAGATTATACGAAAAGAAAAAGTACATACCCTTATGAAAATTGTGAAGAAAATTGACATTAGCCAATCAGAGCTTTTCCATATGTGTATCCTTCATCTTCTGATTTCATCTAATTGACCCCATGTGATCTTCAATCTTCCTTCCTTAGTCTGAATCAACATTTTGGATATTCACAATTTAGTCCCTGAACTTTGAAAATCTTCCTTTTTAGATATGTTTTCATTCATTTCTTCTAAAATCACTTTCAACCATCGAGTTTTACCTAACAAACAATATATACAAGAGATTAAGCTATAATTTGATTTGACGGAGCAATCAATTGAACAATTACTTTTCTAAACTCACGTGGCCAAATTTGAATGGCGCTTTTTTTTTTTTCTTTTTGTGCTTTTTCATCTTCCAATGTTGTCATGCTAAGTGTGTCTGTCAAAATTTTCTGTCAAAAAAAATATGTACATAGCATGATTGATACAGTAAAATTCAACACAAAGATTGGATTGAGAAGATAGAGACTTTTTTGAAAGTTACTAGTTCAACCCTAAAATCACCTAATAGGAGAATAACGCGGAATTAAAATTGTCAATTAAAAGTAACAAGTCATTTTTTAATTGTTCTAAACTGGAGACCACATTAGAAAGTGAAGAGGAAAGTTGAAATTACAAATTCATGGAACCTAAAACTACTTCCAAATTATTCGACATCAAAATATGTCGCATTCTTATTGAATATATAAGAGTTAGATTCGAATCTATCATCACATGTTTTTTATTTTTGTTATCTTTCTCATTTTTGCTTTCCCATTCCTTGTTGGCTTTTTCACACTTGAGCTGTTCAAGGGCCAGGCTCCACCACCAATCAAATATCCTACGGTCATTTTTTATTTTTATTTTTTGGGTACTCGATTTACTAAAATAAACCACAAATACATAATTAATTACTTAATTACAACTAGTTCAGCTATTAACAATTGGAATTAATGTACCTTAATTTCCTTTTTGTTCATGCAAATTTTTCGACATTCCAATCTTTATGCAAGAATTAATTCATTGATTGAAAACATGAACCGTTATCAAATGCCTTGAAGAAGCTAATTAAATATTTTTCCAATTTCATTAAATAATTAACCTTGTACATGCAAACTTTCTTCATCGTATTATTTATTAGTGTTTTGCTCCAAGTACAGGAGCAAAACCTACAGGGGTCTACCGGTTACTCACACTGGCGGGCCCCACATGTTTAAAAAAAAAAAAATACACCCCCTCCCCCCAGTATTAGTGGCCTGGCAGTGAACCCACCCCCTCCCCCTGTACCTGTATCATTGCTCTTTATTTATAGTGTTTTGGCACGGGAGTGCAATGGTTCGAAGCAAATGGAAAGCTGGATTCGACAAAATCAACTTACCAAGATATGTATAGTTTTTCATTGGTACGATCTTAGCAATATTAAGCACTTTGAGTTAACGAGTATCCCCAAAAAGACACAATATTACCTTACTCTGAGTTCAAATTATTTTGTACAAGTTTGGAACATTGATTAAAAGTTATATCATATTGGGATTTAATGTTAAGAGTAGCAGACGGCTAGGGTTGAGTTCCATCAATGAACTCCACCAAGTCGTACCAAATAAAAAGTGTGTGAAACTGAATTTTTCAATGTTTGGCACAAATTAAAATCCGATTTTAATCTCAAGTCAAAGTCACAATTAAATTTAATCACACATTTCATGGAACCCACAACTGTTCAACCACACATTCCATCAAATTTTATCAAAATATACTAAAAATTTGATTTAATCTACAACAAAGAGAATGAAAATGGTTAAGCATTGGGAGAGAGAAGGAGTGGCCACCATGGAGGTGGGGCGGAACCCGCGTTCGGTGGTGTATTATGATTGGACTCGTTCATGAGTTTCTATTCGACGCTGATATATTATGAAAAGACTGAATTAACCACTCTTGTATTAATCAGCCAATGAATATTTATACCAACTATAGAGTCAAGGATACAAAATTGAATATTGTATTCTATTTAATGAATAAATAAGTTATAACAATTACAAAATAAGTTATCACAAAAAATTTTAATCTTCATCTCCAAGAGCCAAGTCGGTTGGTGTAGAGAGAAGCGGGAATCACGTCGGCAACAAAGACTGAATTAAATTATTTTCCAGTTTATCTTATGGTATAAAAGGGTCCATTCTACGGGCAGCTTCCAACCATCACTTTCCTTGTTTTTCACGAGTTGTTTGACTCGTTCATGACCATTTGATTTTAATTAGTTTAAATTAAAAGTTTTTTAAAAAAATATTGATATTACCATTTTAGTTAGGATAATTTTCAATTGAGGCCTTTTTACCATGCAGTTATTCTCATCATATTTAATCACAACCATTAAAACAATTTTTTTTCTCAAACTCACCACATATTCTCACAATAAAATATTTTGTATGTAAACTAAAAATTTTTTCCTACTTTCAAACCACACATCAAAAAATTATTATTTTGAAACCCATTTTTCTTCAAAAACTCGTATTAATGGTTGTCAAACTGAGGCTAAAATTAATTGGTTATTGACATATAAAAATTATATTACTCTATTTGAGCCAAATTATTGTAGAATGTCAATGAAAAATATAACCGTTATTGGGACCCACTTAAGGGAGAAAAATTGAATTTAAATGTTGATGTGATGAATAACGTTCATATTTTTCATTTTAATGAGATAATAATGTAGATCAAATGGGAGCTAAATAAGGGATGATGAGAATTTAATCATTATTTCTTGAATTTTTTTTTTTTTTTTTAAGATTTTCCAAGTGTAAAAGCATATTTTATGGTGATCGATCAATACTAAATTGGGAAATTATAAAAAAATCAAGGGTTTAAAGTTTACTTTTTAAAAATCAGGTGCAAAGTTTATTTAATCAAAAATCAGGTATATATTAAGACATAACTCTAATCCCAAACAAAAC